CACAAACTCAAAAATCTACAAGTGTCAGACAGGTACCACAAACAAGAGAAGAGAATTTGGTAAAAGATTACTGCAGGTGCTTGGAGTTGTAGCGAACTGGAGAGATTATTCCTATCTAAAGAAGGCAGCTTTGAATCAACTCTGGCTGAATCTTACCATGTTGGAATGTGGGCCTAGTTGCCAAATCTTCCTTTGTTTTTTTAAGACAAGTCATAAAACCAAGTTTTTAGGTGAAATTTTTCTAATTTTTAAAATGCTGTAAAGACCAAATACATAATTCTGTGGGAACATGTGGTACTCAGGCCGTCACTTTGTGTGACTCAGTCTAAAATTTATTCACTATTCACTAAAAAATAAATAAATAAATAGATAAATAAATAAAAAATCTTCCTTTGTTTTTTTAAGACAAGTCATAAAACCAAGTTTTTAGGTGAAATTTTTCTAATTTTTAAAATGCTGTAAAGACCAAATACATAATTCTGTGGGAACATGTGGTACTCAGGCCGTCACTTTGTGTGACTCAGTCTAAAATTTATTCACTATTCACTAAAAAATAAATAAATAAATAGATAAATAAATAAATAAATAAATAAAAATACAGCCACAGTGGCAAGGATGGAGACTACACATAGACTCAGCTACAATAACTTTTGCTCACCAGGCACTCATTATTAAAAAACAAAACAAACAAACAATACAAAAAAAAAAAATAACCCACCGAATTTGTCAGCAGAATTGCTATTCTTTCAGCTATTGGAAATTGGACATATTACAAAATCCAATCAGATACATAGTGGATGGTTGTTTAGTTAGGGCTTTTCTATTATGGCAGAACAGGAATTTGTACTCAGAGAGATATTTATTCTGTATTTGGATTTAACTTTTCTGTCAGCACAACTATTGGTAGACTTATTCAGTCGATAGCTTTATGCTAAGCCACACAACATAACCTCTAAGAAATTAACTACACAATCAAGGAGGTAAATCAGTGGAATGATAATGGTTTTCATTGGTCTTAATGTATAATCTAATACCTGGAAGGAGCTAGCTTTAGGGAATGATGGACTGACCAACTGTTGAGGTCTCAGTCACTGCCTTTTGGGACACAACACTATCTTCCAATGTAGTGAAAAAAAAAAAAAATGTGGTACGTTGTGTATCAGCAATCATTAATATACAGTGCTCTTTTTCCTACAGCCAAAATACACAGGCCAGGAATGAAAGTACAAAGCGAAGTACTTGTCATGATTTGATAGTGATTGTTATGAGTTGAGTTGTGTCCCCTATGAAGATGGTGAAATCCTAATCCCCCACTACAGGTGAATATCACCTATTTGGAAATAGGGGCTTTACAGATTATCAAGCTAAAACAAGGTCATAAGAATGGGTCCTAATCCAATATAACTGGTGTCCTTATCAAAAGGGGAAAATTTGGAACAGAGATAGAATTGTATGGAGCAAAGACAAGGCAAAGACATAGGAAGAATGCCATCTACAAGCCAAGGAATGTCTTAGGAAACCAGAAGCTGGGAGAGAAATCTGGAACACATTCTCCCTCACAGACCCCAGAAGGAACCAACCCTGCTGATCCCTTGATCTCAGATTTCTAGCTTCCAGAACTGTGAGAGAATAAATTCAGTTGTTTAAGGCACCCAGTTTGTAATACTTTGTTACAGCAACCCTAAGAAGGGAATTCAAAGACCTAGTCTCTTGGGGTTTTTTTTCTTTCTTTCCTTACAACTGAGTTCTGCTCATCTAGAAACTGAAAAACCAGTGGGGAATAGGTTCACTAGAGGGCCTAATATATTTTCCACTGAAATAGAAGCTGAGATTGCTTTATAACCATTTTAAGTTCTTTTTTTTTTTTTTTTAAGTGATTTAAAAAGAGATTATACTGGAATGACAATAATCAAGGCAAAATAGTGTTGTTGCCACATACAAATCAGGGTTAGAAGGAATGCTGCTCCTCCAAAATAACTGTAGTACACAGTAGAATTGTAAAAGAAATGGATAAAACCATCAACAGGTAGGAACAAAAGGGCTCGATTCTTCCTGAATAAATGTGTGGTTCATCTCATTGAGCAGACAAAAAAACAAATGTGAGGAACTGCCATAGAGTAAAAGAGATATGAATTGAGTAGTGAAGGATGAAGTCCTTCATAAACATCGGCTCAAGTTTATAACCAAGAGAAACAAGTAAGCCCTAGAGTTAGTACCTGTATTCCCTTGCTTATCTTTTATTATTGTTATTATTTGGCATATAGAATGTGTTGATACACTACAGTGTATCATTTTGTCCCTAAGGCATAGCACATTGACATGGGATTGTGACAGAACAAGAGGAGGCAAGGACATCACCTGATGGTTCTAAACTAGGCTTGAGCCTTCCTCTCTGAGTGTGGTGACTAAAACCTTTTGAGGAGGTCTTTTCTGTTGTACTTTACTTATTTACATTAGAAATATTTACATATATTTGAAATATTTTCAAATGGTGTTTATGGAAAGAAGCACGTGTGTATGTTGTACAGCCAAATAATAAGAATGTATAGACTTTTCTTGTTTCTGCTTCCTTCCCAGCATCCATTCATTTGTGGGAGCTGTCCTGGCACTCTACCCTCTTCTAGTGAGCTGTCAATCACAGGACTCCAGAAACAAGCTAAGTCAAAAGGCTTAGCTCTTTTCCTTGGAATTTCAATTATGAGTAGAGAAACTCAGGACTAGAAGGCAGTTAGAACTGAGTCATCTAGTGGCAGCTCCTAGCATAGTGAACACATGAGTTCCCACAATATAGATCATCTAAATGTCCAAGCCCCTGGCTTCTCTGTAGGCCTAGATATTCAGTATACCATTCAATAGCTTTCCAATAAATCCACTCAGCTTCTTTCATCCTTCCTTCTCTCTTCCTTCCTTTCTCTTTCTTTCCTTTTTTCTTTCTTTCCTTTCTTCTTTAGTTAGCAAGAGTTTATTACTGTTAGTTGTAGCTAAAGAATACCAATATATGTATATGCTTACATTTTTTGGCATAATATTTAGAATGTTTAAATATGTATATAGCCATAAAGAGGCTATTAAACTTGGTGGGTGGAAAGGCTATATTACAAAAAAAGCATTATTGTGTTTCCTCAGATAGAATTAATGGTAAGAGAATGTGGCAGAGGTTGCTATTGTTGTATACCAGAAATTGTTTCTAACTTTTCCAGTACCAACCCCAACTCTAATCTAACCTTGATAAATCTACCAGTATAACATTTTGAACTCTGAAATAAAGAGACTTTAAGAAAAGACAAATAGGGAAAGGAATAAAGAAGACAAGAGTAAAAAAGAGAAGGAAAACATGAGTCAGTAATGTCTAGGATAAACTGTACCCAAAGTGGAATTCTAGATAGGACTGAATTAGCACAGCTAAAAGAGAGGACATCCCCTTTTCTCCTATTTCTCTTCACCACAGTCATTAGTGGGAAATGACGGACTATGTAGACAGTATATCTTTTAAGTATCTCTCTCTCTCTCTCTCTCTCTCTATATATATATATATATATATATGCACTTATATATATATTATATATACACATTTATATATATATATACACATTTATATATATATACATATATATATTATATGCTGGTAGAATTAATTTATCTACTCTATTAGTATCTATATATAACAAGTGTATTTCTCCACATATATGGTTTGAATACTTGCATATAATACACACAGACAGAGAGACACACAATTTTTAACTCTGCTCAGATTCAATAAAAATATAACAATGTGTATAAAAAGAAAGGGCCAGTTATGACAAGCAGTAAGTGTGGCAAGCCACTTTGACTGTTTCTCCTCTCCAAAGCACTGGTTAACAAGCAAATATTTGATTGTCCTAATGAACTATATAGATAATAATGTAGTGCATATGGTCCACATATAGGCTTAATGATAGGCTTTTGAATGTTGAAGTTCTACTATTGTAGCTCTTTAATATAAAATCAACAAATAATATTTTAGCCTCTAGAATTTTAAAATACCTCATTCATCTTGATCAGTAATTAAAAGGAACGAGTGGATTTAATTCTCCTTAAATAAACTTCTTTGTAAAATTTACATCAGAACTTTAGACAGCCTGTTATTCATAATTCAGAGTTTATCTCTCCCATGCCATTTCCTGAGAATAAAACATAGCACGAATAAGCATTTTTAATCCACGAACATGCTTAAACTTTAGAAAAACAAATGTATTCACTGATAACTAAAATATTCCAAATGCCTCAATACTCATTTTTTTTTTTTTCAGAGAAAATTCAATAGCCTTACTTGAATCCAGGCATGGGAACATAAAATACTGGAAAAACAAAGATAAAGAAAAAAATTCATACTACAAACACAGATTAGTGGCACTCAGTGTCAAAAATCCTCAGTACAAAATGACCTAACAAACACAATATTTAAGTCCTTTTGACTTCAATGTCAGAAAATGGCATCTGCCTACTTGGTAGACAAACCTGCAGTCATCCTAAAACAATTCGTTTGTCAGTGTTGAGATAATCGAACCAAGTTCAAAGTCCAAGGGAGGAAGGTTGCAGCATGGAGGGCGGGGGCTGGTTGGGGACAGATGCCTGTACAAAGAGAAGGCACAGTGTCTTCCCTTTTCCTCCCTGCTTTTATAGTGGAACGTACTCATATCTGCCTTCTAACTGGGAACTTCAGCTGTTGGGGGTGAATGGATAGGTGATCTAATTCCTTCACTGATATTTACTGTTACCCAAGTTCTTGATTCTGTCCCGCAGACAACAGATGATTTCCAGAGCAGGGCAAATAGTGATCCTGCCCCACCATTACACTGCCCTCTAGATCCACGACTGCTTCTATCAGCCGGGTGATCGTCCCGACTTGCCCGAAACTTCCTAGGAGGCTGCAGCCCTGGAAAAGAAAATCCTGAACTACAACGCTGGTAGTTCAGCTGGCATTGCTGGGGAAAGGGGACAGGACGCTGTTGAGTACTCACAGTTTGCCTCTGAGACGGGAAACACTAGGGCGAGGCACGCCAGCAGCGCCCGGCAACGCCTACCTAGGACCCTCATGGTCAGGCCGGCAAAGGCGCGGGCAGGGGGCGGGGGACCGTGGCGCGTCGCGGTGGGGACCTGAGCGCTCGGCGCGCGGCGAACCTGCGAGCCCAGGCGCGGCTTTCTGAAGACTGCGGAGCCGAGGCGCCAGCGAGTGAGCGCGCCCGCGGGGCAGCGGGAGCCGGGGGCGGAGGGGACCGCCCGCTCCCAGCCCCCAGCCCGTGAGGGGAAGTGATAACGAGGACATTTCCAGGAAGCTTTTTGGAGCTGGGGGCAGGGCTCGGGGAGAGTGTTGGAGGCCTAGTAAACACTGTGGAGACACCCTTCCTTGCCCGTCCCCAAACTCCAGCGTTTCGTTCCCGGTCTGCGGAATATGAAGTTTCCCAAGGGGAAGGGGAAGCAAACGCAGTAAAAATCTCCAGCGAGCTAGGGTGGGAGGCTGAGTAACTGAGAGACCTTTGAGGACAGAAGGGAGAGAGTATCTCTGCTAAGTTAAAATCGTGAGAGATCGATGTTGGGGATGATTACATTAACTGAAACTTAGAAGAGAATGAGGACTCTATGAAGACTAAAGAGAGAAAGGAAGCAAATGGGATAGTTTTGATCACCATTTTTATTTTGTACTTGCAGGTATGGTGTAAAAAAAAAAACTATAGCAAAAAAAATGTTTTGAGAAGAATATCAAATACCATCACTTTCGAGCAGCTCGTTTTGTTTTTTGCACATTACCTCTCCTTTTTATGCTTAGACATCCCCATTCGAAATACGTTACTTAATGTTTAAGGCTGCCTGTGGAGTTAAACTGCCTGGATTCAAATCGCAGTATTCTGCCACTTAGTTATGTAACGTTCAGCAAATCGATTAACCTCTCTAAGCCTCAGCTGTATCATCTGTAAAATGGGAACTATAGTAAGTTTTCATTGTGTTAATGTAAAGATTTAAAGAGATAACACAAATAAAGAAATTAGTGTGTTAAATAGTAGTATTTAAGACATATTTACTATTATCACTTCTAGTATTTCTGCCCAAATAAACATATCAATTGATTTCCTATGCGTGTGAGCAAAATTCAAGATATTGATCATCTTTCAAGAGTCCCTCCCAGCTCTAGCTTTCTTTGGTTCTGTGATCCAGTTGGATGGAAGTTTATATTAGTCACCTTTTTTGATAAGAACGCTTGCAAAGAAATTATTGAATTTTTTTAACCCTTCTCTCTTTTAAATTCTCTTCCTTTTTTATTGTCTGACTCTACCATGTCAGTCTATTCACTACTTTATTCCCAGCTCCAAATGATTTAATGATAATTCTAATCCCTGTAGATTTGTTTGGTGTGCTAGCAGTCATAACATTAAACAAAATAAATTTTAAGTACTATACTTAATTATTAAATGTATTTAGGCCATGAGTCTTTCAAGCAAAAGCTTGATTTAGGAATCTCCTCATCTTGTGAGAAAGAATTTAAAGTAGAATACCAACTTTGAGATCTCAGCATTTCACTAGGGGAGAAAATCTCCAAAATTGTGAAGCAACAATATTCATAACAAATCACCTCCAACACAGACATTTAAAAAAAAGAATATAAAGAGTATGAAGAAGGGAATGTTAGAAAAACAGGAAAGTATCTGAAAGAAAAATCTTACTCTTCCAAAGACGTCAGCCGAAAGTGAATATTTTTTTAATATGAAAAATGTGTATCACAGTGCTAGCAATATTAATCAATGCTGAAAATATATCCTATCTATAATATAATGTCAAATTTTGAAAAATTATATACAGATATTTCTACTACTAAAATTCAGTAACACGTCTTTGAATAAAATTTTTGGATCTTTAACTTTTCTCAGAACTTCACTCTCAGATGGTGATATCTGGCTCTAGCTCAAAATTAATCAACACTTGGTAATTTTTATTTGGCCAAAATTATTTTTGGTGCAGTTCTAAATATGCAACGAAATCCTACCCGAAATTTAACTCTTCATCTAATCCTATTCCCAGTCCTAGCCCCATTCCCTTATCCAATTTTGTATTTCTTCATATGATCTTCTATGAATATATTGCCTAATTTACTTATTAATTTTATTATTTGCCTCTTCATTCTTCTCACCACTAGAATGTAAGATCCTTGAGGGTAGGAATTTTTTTAATATTTTGTCCACAGCTATATTCCTGGTACCTAGAACAGTGAGTATCACATAAACATTCAACTAATTCAATTTACCAGGGCAAGCCTGGGAATATTTATGCCAAAATATCCATAGTGATCATTCACAGTGGTGAGATTATGAATCATTTTCCTGTTGCTGATTTATACAGTTTATTTTTCTACAACAATCATTTAATATTTGCTTGGTAAAGTGCTAAAGTGGTTAAACCGTAGGCAATGAAGACTAGTCTTGCTTTATTTGTTTTCTATATGTATGTTTGTTTTAGAATGGATAGTGATTTTTGTGGTTCTTTAAGAATGTTACCTTGTGAAATGTTTACAAAATGGATCACAGCAGGGAAAGATTAGAAACCAAGTAACATTTAGACAACAAATAAATGTTGGTAAGGATGTGGAGAAAGGAGAACCTTTGTACACTGTTGATGGGAATGTAAATTGGTGCAGCCTTACGGAAACAGTATAGAGGTTACTCAAGAAATTTAAAAAAAACTACTATATATATATATATAGTAACAAAATACTGTGTATTTTAATTCTACTAGACATGTAGAAGTACTATATGATCCAACAATCCCACTTCTTGGTATGTAACCAAAGGAAATGAAATCACTATCTCAAAAAGATATCTGTACTCCCATGTTCATCGCAGCATTATTCACGATAGACAGGATATGAAAACAACTTATGTGTCCATCTGTGGATGAATGAATAAAGCAAATGTTATATATAAATATATTATGTATTTATGTATGTTATATGTGCCACATACATACTATATGTTTTGTATATATAACATATATATGATATATATGACAGAATATTAAGCCTTACCAAAAAAAAAAAAAAAGGAAATCCTGCTATTTGCAACAATATGGATAAATCTGTAGAGTAATATGATAGTGAAATAAGCAAGACAGAGAAAGACAGATATTCCATGGTGTCATTTTTATGTGGAATTAGAAAAAAAAAGTCAAACTCATAGAAACAGAAAGTAGAATGGTGGTTGCCAGAGGATGGGAGGTATGGGAAAAGGGGGAGAGGTTGGTAAAAGGTACAACCTTTCAGTTATAAAATGAAAAAGTTCTGAGGATACAATGTGCAGAATGATGATTATAATTAATTATACTGTATTATATACTTGAAATTTGCTAAGAAAGTAGATCTCAAATGTTTTCACCAGAAATAAAAGTAACTACGTGAAGTGATGAATGTGTTATATAACTCAATTGTGGGAATCATTTCTCAATGTATATGTATTTCAGATCATTATATTGTACAATTTAGGTGCATTACAGTTTTATTTGTCAATTATACCTAATACAGCCAGAAGAAAAAAAAAGAAACAAGGTAACATTTAGGATGTTATTTCAGCAATTCCTGAGATATGAAATGAAGTTCTTGACTAGAATGATGGCAGCAAGACTGTTTTCATCATTTAGAGAAACTAGATTATAATGTGATAAAATGCCACAAAATTACAGTGGCTTAAGATAACAAATGTTAATTTCTCGCTTATGGGAAGTCCACTGTAGGACTTTCCAAGCAGCTGCCCTCCATGTGTTGGCTCAGCATTTCATGATGGCTTGATTTTACTTTGAAGTTAACATAGACTTCCATAATTAACATTGCAAGGGAAGAGAGAGAACATAGAGAATTGAGCAACGGCATTTAATTGCTTTCATAGAGAAGTAACACAACCAGTATTGCGCACATGTCACTGGACAAAGCAAGTCTAATGACTTCAAGAGGTGTGAATAACTATTTCATGTACTTGTAAGGAAAAGAGAACTAGAAATAGTGAACAACACTTATGGTTTACCAAACCACTTAATATATTGAAAACTAATAGTTAACTTAGCTAACTAACTGACTGACTGATTGGCTGACTGTATGTTGGCAACAGAACTCTTTGGTAATGTATCGCTATCAGAACTAGGGAAGCCATGATATAGAGCTGGGTTGAGTATGTTTTTCAAAAAGAAAAGGGTGTTGAGCATGGTTCCAGAAACGCTTAAGAAAAATCCACATAGTAAGTAAGGGCCTCAGGCACAGATGTAATAATTGGATTCTTTAAAAGAATGTTTTTTGAAAAGGAAAGCATAGGGATACGGTTGGAGAATCATACAGGAAGCTGGAGGAGAAATGACTAGTGAGATAAGACCAAAATCAGAATAGTGTATAATTATGAAAAGTCACGGGAGGAAAGAGCTTTAGAAGTTAACTTTATTAAGTTTGTTAAGTGATATAAAAGAAAATGAGAACTGACTTGGTAATTAGGAAGACATAAATTATATTGAAAAAATGTGTTTCAAGTAATTTGATGGGACAAAGCTCAATCATAGTAATTGATAAAAAGAGTGAACCACTAATTGTGTTGTAAAGTTAAGAGTCAGCAGAACAGTACTAATCTGGCTTGTAGTTAAAGAGAAATTGTGGCTTTATTCTGCCTTGCCCTCTTATTCTCGCTCTTCCCTGGAGACAGTAGCCTAAAATCTAGGAGAAAAAATGGGGAGAGATATATTTAAGATGTTGGATCAAGAAGAAATAATTGAGGGAACAGGATTTCAGAAAAGTTGAAAAATAATGTTTGTCAAAGTTCCAAGAAAGTGTTTAACCTTGGGAAAGAGGAGGTAGATGTCTTTAGATATTAGGAAATAAGAAACAAGGATAACAGGGAAGGAAGAAAATACGTAAAGGTATCATTTAACTTTCTTTATTAGTACTTATAATAGAGGTATTTTTGTATATGGACAGAGCAGTCTGGGCAGAGCAGCATCAGCATTGCTGAAGAATGGCAGGGTTTTTTTGTTTTTGTTTTTAAAGAAATCAGTAAAGGTCATATAGCTTTGAGCAGTTGGAAAGAAAGGTGAAGTTATCAATGCAGGACAATGAGAATGGTGAACAATGTCCCTAGCAGCTTGGAGAAAGGTAGGAAGATATGTGCCATGAATATTTATAGAACAGGCAATACCAACTTCAAAATATGCTATTACTTATTAGAAATTCCACTTGAACTTTATTTCTCTCATTTCATCATCTTAGCAACCTTGCAAAGTAGGTATTATCATTTTCATTTTACATATGGGATACTTTGATTTAGAGACAAAGCTGTAAGAAATGTATATGAGTTTGAATTAGGATAACATGAGTTATTAAAGAACAGAGAATAACTTTCAACCTATATCTTAGTTCTAAACCACTGTTTTCCTTAGGGCCCTCTCTTCTTTTACCAGGATTTGAAAATATATTATTAGAAACTGAATGGACACACAGGTCCAAATATATGAAGCATGCATTTTTTCTATAGGAATAACTTGTCATTTCTTTTCCAAAAATATAAAAAGAAATGCAGACATTACATATCTTTAAATAAAATAAAATGTGTTACAAAACAGCCAGTAGATCACCATCTCCATCTTGAAGAAACCAAATAGCTAGCAATCTATGTATCTAAAAATCCTGGAAAGAACATACATCAAAATGTTAACACCAGTTATCTTTTGGTAGTGAGTGTGAGATTTTATTTATTTTATTCCTTTTTTAGTGTCTTTTTATATTTCCTACAACAAAATATATTTTTAGTAATCATAACACCCCCCCATACAATAAATACCATACATTTCTATTTCACTGTTTATGTAACAAACAGCAATATTATACAGATTAAAACCTCACTCTCATCTGCTATTGATACAACTAGCAAATGAGTTTTTCCATTGTTCTTATAATAATTGCCCCAGTGTATTGTTTCTATAGCTGTGCAGCCAGAGTGTGCTGGAATCCCAGAGGATTCGCATTCCTGGCGCATAAAAGAGAACAAAACAAAACACGCACGCGATCTGAGATCTCTGGATCTCAGCTGTGGTTGGGGACAGACGAGGAGCAGCACCCTCGGCTGGCAACACACTTTTGGACGGGTGTGCAGGTAAATCTTGCTTGAGATTAGTTCGGTATCCTTCAACTCATTCTAAACGCTCCCGTTGTCTAGCAACGAGAACCTCCTTCCCAGAACTCCACCTCCTTCTTCAAGACACGCCCCGGTCCCCTTCAGCCACTCAGAGTCCCCCACTGCGAGTCCTCGAACGATGATTGGAGTAGTGCATGGGCGGTGCTTGAGGAGGGCCTTCCGCGCCTGGGAGGAACGTCAGAGCGTCGACGCGGGGGTTTTCTCTGACCCGCTCCGCTAACCCTGCTCTAGTCTGGGAATCTGCACCTTTGGCTGGGCTATCCTGGGCGAGCAGGCCGGTCAACACTCGCGGGCCGGCGCGATTATCCGAGCTTTGTGCTCCGACTGATCGCCTTCACCTCCCTTCCGGTCTCTCTTTCGGGGCTAACCGCCTCGGAGGCTCCTCCGAGCGGCGGCGGCTTTGGGACTTGGCCGGGTGCAACTAGGGGCCCATCCCCTCTCCAGGTTCGAATGGGAGGCGGAGAGAGCAGCGGCCTGGGATGTTCAGTCTGATGGCCAATTGCTGCAGCTGGTTCAAGCGGCGGCAAGAGCCCGTCAGGTAAGCTTGAGACCGCTGGCAAGGAGTAGTCCTAGGGGATGGGAACAGCTGCTCCCAGAGGAGCCTGGGTCGAGTCTCCCAGGCCGCTGGAGATGCTTTCGCGCCCAGTTTGACTCGTTCCCGGAGGGAAGGATAGAAGGATGTAACCTTCTTATCTAGTTGCATTTAAGTTCTCATCGACAATGCTTGTTGTAAATTAAATGGGTTCCAATTTCTTAAAAAGTTATGGATTTTCTGTGTGTGGAATTGGAAACTGTCCGTTGTGTGTTTTCCCGTTGAAGCTTTTGTAATGGGAATTTTTTTTTTTTTTTTTAAGTAGAGAAGCATGTCCCGTTGAAGCTTTTGTAATGGGAATTTTTTTTTTTTTTTTAAGTAGAGAAGCATGGGATATAATGTTCATAACATCCACATATCTGTTTCAGACACACACACACACACACACACACACACACACACACACACACACACGTTTTGTTTGAGGACTTACTTGGACTTGAAATCTGGCTCCACTACTTAATAAATTACACTGTACACTTAAAAATTACACTTAAATACCTTTGGCACCATCTTCCTCATATATTAAATAAGAGCGATAATATCAATGCCTTAGGAGTGTTGTATATTAGATGAGAATAATTGATAGAAAGTGTTTTCTTAACTGTAGTGTAGCTTCAGTTTTCTCATAAAATCTAGTTAATCCTTTTAATTGAAAGAGTCCAGTTCTTAACTTTTTATTTCGAAGTGCTAGATATATTACTATTAAGTGCCTGTTACTAGGTATTCATTCATTTCTTAACAAATACTTATTGAGAAAATATCATGTGCCAGGCATTGAGCTGGGAAGGAGTCAGTGAAAATGATGTTTTGTGTTTTTTTTGTTTGTTTTTTAATTAAATTTATTGGGGTAACATTGGTTAATACAATTATATAATTTTCAGGTGTACATTATAATTTGACATCTACATATTCTATTGTGTGATTACCACCCAAAGCCCAGTTTCCTTCAGCTACCATATATTTGATCCCTTTTACCCACTTAACCCTAACCCTACTCCTCTATATTTGACCCCCTTTACCCTCTCTCTACCTCTCTCCTCCCCCTACCCCCTTCCCTCTGGTAACCACTAGTCCATTGTCCATGTTCCTGAGTCTCTGTTGAAAACGATGTTTTTAAAATCGAGAACCTCAACCTATGAAGAAAGCTTGTCCATTATTCTTTAAAAATAATATTGAGTTCTTATAGTACTACTTTGGAATTAGGCCAAGAATAAATTGTAGCATAGTTTTTGGGTTTTTTAAATCATTAACATTTCAAATGTAGTATTTGCAGTAAAGATAAACTATCTTTTTAAGAATGAATCTTAAAAGCAGTGCTTCTAAATTATAAGGAAAAAATATATGTGTACATTTATTTTTACTTTTTTAAAGAAGTATGCTCTAAATGAAACATTTGATGTTCTTTTCCCTTTATTAACTCTTAACTTTATTCAAATGTTTTAAATATAAATGATATGATTGATTTTTAGAGTCAAAGATATGTTCTGATGACTAGATTCTGATTTATTGTTTTAATCATTTCTGTTCTGATTGTATAATCTACTGACTTGAGGATCATTCATAATGAATAGCTCCTTATATTTTTTTTATTTATCTGCTTATTAAAAATGTATTTTGTTTTTGGAAGAGGACACAATACCATTTGTCCTTTTAACTAAAAACACCCAAAAAGCTTACACTCCAAAAGCGCTTCCAATTTAATTAATCATTCTTCGTGTTTGTTTCTCTTAGCAGCTATAGTATAATCTCTGGGATGATTGTTTAAAGAAGAGACAGTGTTCAGAGAAAGGAGAATGTATTGATATCCAAGTAGCATCTAGATCTGTGCTGTCCAGCAGAGTAGTGACTAAGCTGCATGTGGCTTTTGACCATTTGAAATGGGGCTAGTCTGAATTGAGATGCTCTAAGTATATAATACAAAGTGGATTTAAAAGATTTACTAAGAAAATGAGAAAAAAAAGTAAATGTCTTTTAAGACTTTTTTAATGTGATTAAATGTTGAAATAACTTGCATATATATAGGATTAAATAAAATAGAATATTAAAATTAATTTCACTTTTTATTTTTACTTTTTTAAAGATGCAGTTACTAGAAAATTTAAACTTATATTTGTGGATAACAGTATATTTCTTTTGGGTCTTCCTGATCTAGATCAAGATCATGGCCTAATATAGAAGGCATAGGTACAACAGCTCTCAGTGTTTTATAGAGTTAACTGTCAAAAACCTTAAAAACAAGTTGGATTACACCCATCTTTTAAGGATCCTTGTTTGGTGCCTATATCATAATAGTGTCTGAATAAATATTTGCAAAATATTGTATATAGTTTGATCATTCCTTAGCAATAATCATCCTAAAGTAAATAATATTAGCAAGTAGTTTCATTGACTGGAATAAATGAGAGGTGAGCAAGCTGATTTAAAGTTTTTATAAAATTTTGTGCTTTTATGATCTGTTGTATTTTCAAGTTTTTGTCCACGCTGCTTCTTACTGAGTTTCTTCATATTTATATTTTATGAAGATATGTTTGCAAATGTGAGAAGTGAGTGTAAGAGAGAACTTGATGCTTATTAATACTCTATGATCTGAAGTTACTTTGCTTAGTTATCTGATATATCCTGCACTTTGTGGATTTACCCACCTGTCCTCACTTAGATGTTCTCCCAGTGAGCATATTATTAAAGAAGTTGAATCAGGGATTTGATGCAGTTTTCAAAATGTGTGATAAGGATAAGTCTGGAATTCAGAGATCAAGTGTTAAGGCACCAGTTTAGGTCAGAAGTCAGGAAAAGGATGTCGGACAATTCAGAGGCAACATATATGCTATTATAAACTACCAGTGAGAATCTGAACCTTGGCTTTCAAGCTATGTAAATTAGTCTTGAATAGACTAATAGCTAGACCCACAGTTAAGTATCTTGCTCCTATAGAAGCCGTGCAGTGTAGTGTAGTTTTTTTTCTTTTTAACTTTTATTTTGAGATCATAATATAATGATCAAGGCTAAGAAATTAACTTTGATACAATACTACTAACCCAATTTATTTTGAGTTCTTCTGTTTTAACACTTAATGCCTTTTTTTCTCTCCAGGATCTAATCCAGGATTCCACATTGCTTTGTCATGTCTCTTTGGTCTCTCTCAATCTGTAATTGTTAGTTGGTCAGTCTTTCCTTGTCTTTCTCAACCTTGAGACTTCGAAGAACACTTATCAGTTGTTTTGTAGAACACTCCTCAATTTCTTTGATGTTTCCTTGTGATTTGATAAAGGTTTTAATGTATTATTAGGCAGCGGGTTACCACAAAGGTGAGGTGTCCTCAGTACATCACACCAAAGGGTGTGTGATGCTGATATATCTTATTC